TCGGACTAGATGATCTGTCTAGGTCCCTTCCAACTCATTGATTCTATGATTCTATGAAATAGAGTTCAAGATATATTTTTGATTAATGACTGATAATTTAGTTTGATTCTCTGCTGTATTTTTAGCTGCTAACAATATTCTTAAATAGCTCAGTTTGTTGCAGTTTGACTAATCAAAAGAGTTGATTAGAATCTAATTATTTATATGTACCAAGGATGAACAAAGCAAAACCATAAGACAGTCTCCTTCCATTAATATGGCCAAATACAATAGGCCTTATTCCTAAGGCCAGATCTATAGTACAGCTTCTTACTGGTTTTCCCTCGTAAGAGATTTTCTCATAAATTATAATTAATTGCTGCGGCCCTCTTGTAGAGCCACTAGTACCATGTACTGTACATTTCAAACTATTGCACAAACATAACGTTTATTATTATTAGCATAACAAAAGTCCTTAGTCTTTAACATAAGATGCCTAAAGATGGGGAATCTATTCATGAAAATTGCTTTGCCTGGAGAATGGAGAAAAAGTATTGCGTATATTTGGAGATGTGTTCCAGATCCTTCAGTTGCTATGGAAGCCAAAAGTTCCATAAACTTGGAACAGTAACACTGAGAGTAATTTTATGCACAGGAATGGTATTGATGAAAGGACCTGCAGGTTCAGATTTCCAAGGATTTACTCACGTTGATAAATAGTGGACACCAATGGAACTTCTTGAGGAGAAAGTGGCTATTTTCAATGAGGTAAAGGTACCAGAACCTACCTGTACTAATTCCATTCCAATAACTACTTAAAAGGAGTTCTGTAAAAAGAAAAACGTGTTACATGTCATTTTAATACATCAAAAATTAACAAATAATGTTACCGTTTGCTATCAAGCTGGTGAAAATTTCTCCTGCATCAAGAAAACGGCATGTGCTGTATCTGTTGCCAAACTCGGGAGGATTTGAATAGTACAGGTTAAGTCCACATTAGTAGGATTATTTGATTAATGAGATATGTTTTCTAATGATAATCCAATAAGAGGGAACAAAAAAGGAGGTGGGGAGAGCAATCCTAATAATTACAAATAACCCTTTAGACTCCACCTGAAAAGCAATAAGTAATTATTGCATATATGTATTGGAGTGTGTTACAATATGTTACCAGGGAAGCTAGCTGACACATGACATTCTTATCATAAGGAAATTTCTAGTTTCTGTATGCAGAAAATATTAGGGACTTGACTGAGATCTCCAGGTATGTGGAGGTGCAATAGTGTGCAAGTTAAAGTGATGTTATAGCTATGATAGTCCAGGAAATAGGTGAGAGGTAAGGATTTTTGTGGGGATATATTTTATTGGATCCCAGCCATGCAATTTTGTCAATTAAAGGTATCACCCACAAAAATCCTCACCCCTCACATAAAATAAAGAGAGTTACACAGTGTAAATTTAGCCCATTTTATACATTTCCTGACCCTGGGCAAGTTAGACTCCACTGCACACTTCAAATGTATGGTAACTCTGAAGTGAGCCAGGGGGAGTTGAGTTAGTATGAGTGGGTCTAACTAAAGGTGACATTCTAGTTAGAGCCAGTCATAAAAATTCTGACAAAACATAAATTCCTCAAAATATTCCAGTTCGTTAGTATATAAACCTATTGTGGGGATGATTCAATGTCAGCAGCGTTCCTCCAGATACCAGGCAAACTTCTTGGTTTCATGCCAGCATGCAAGCCCAGTTCCTTGACAGCCTAGGCCTCCATGGTCCACAGCCCTAAATCAGCCCATTCAGGCACTGTCCCATAGCTAGGGATAGTAGGCCCACAATGGTCCTCAGCTCCAAAGTTCTGCTCTAGTCTCCTTTTATAAAGTACATATTTTCTCAAATCATAAATATTTCTCTTAAAAAGGATACTGAAATGAAGATAATATGACTTCTTAGTACAGGGACTTCTAATGTCAGCCATTCTGTGTTTAAACTATTTCATTTTCAACAGAATTAAAGATCTACATAGTATATTCTACCTCCTGCAGACTGCAGTTGTTAAAAGAAAATAAATCACTTAAACAGGGTCACAAGCAACAAAGGCCAAGATGGGTTCAAAGTTTACAGGTCTCCACATTTATCAGGTAGAAATATGCCACATTTCACTATTTCATAAAATATCCTTTTATGAAAAAAACATCAATCTTTGTATGTCCTGTTAAAACTCTGATTTCTCAAATGAAAGAAATGAATGATGACACTGAATCAAGAAATCGTTTATGAGTTTATATTTTTGCAGGACCACCAGGACTTTCACATACGTTTTCAATTTCTATAAGGATGTGATTATCGTGTGGGTAAGTTTTACTCCCACTGCCTGTACTAAGGGATCTGTCAGAATTGTGTACCCTTTTGTTGGGCAGATCAGGATCTGCCTTTTTTATCTGCTGTGCTAAATACAATTCAGAGATAGATGTCCAACTTTTTAAAATGTGTCTAAAATTTTAATTTTTGGTATATTTGTGTAAGTTGTATATAGTTAAATATGCAAGTGTTAATATTTGTTCAAATGTAATGCACATCAGTCTATACAGTGTCTCTGCAAGATTTCTTAGAATGTTAATTGTTCATCTTTTAATCTACTGTTGAAGACTTTTCATTCTGACTTGCGTTATGAGAGGATCTATGCACAAATTAAAGCAGTGTTACAATAGTAATTGTACCAATGCTGCTTTTGTTGTAATACCAGGATTCATTGTTTTTAGGACACCGATAACATCTGACATTTCTGTTTGTTTCTGGTATAGAGAGTGGCCACCAGTTGAATGACTAGCATATTGAACAACAGTGAGGCAAGGGAAGTTTAGATAAAAGATATCAGTGTAAATGTTATGTATGATGAAAAATGCCATGGGCTATATCTCAAATCCACACAGAGAAAACGAGATTTTAGGGTTATAACATGCTGTCTGAAAGCAGATGCACATTCATATAGTTTTCTCTCTATCCCCAGAATAAGTAGGGAAAGGTGAGAATGTGCAGAGAATCAAATCTGTGTTTCCAAGTAGTAACTTGATGCTTTGACCTTTAAGCCACTCTTCTGGCAAACTCAGTATAATCCCATCTTTTTGGGCCGTTGGAGTGAAATGAACCTGTGGTTGAGAGAGTTTTGTGCAACTTTTTTTTGTTTAAAGACTTGTCTTAATTTTTGATTAGTCTGACTGTACCTGTGATTTCTTCCTGTTGAGTCATTCCATGAGTTTATATGGTCTTCTCTTGAACTTCTTATCTGATTTTTGAGCAGGCTTTTACATTTGGTTTACTACAGAGTTCAGTAAAAAAAAAATTAAAGCAGCCAACACATATAATATAAACACATATCGGAATAAAACATACATTCTTGTAGTTCTTGAATTGTTTGGAAGTTGGTAATTTTTTTTTGTTCAGAAAATTAATATAGTTTTCTCCAGTTCACGTAGGAACCACTTTTTGGCAAAGTCTTTGGTAATGTCCTTTATGAT